ATTGTTAATTTTAAAAAATTTTAAAGTTTCAACAAACAGAAAAAAAACATTTTTTTTTTTAAACATCAACGAGTGCGGCATTTTACAGCCACCCCAATATTTAATCGTACATTTGGCATGTCTTCGAAAAGATGGAATGGCTAGGAATTGTAGTAAATTTGTTTATAAACATTTATTCCATCGTTTGTATATGTACTCTTGCATGGTCCCGTTTTAATGAAGTACTCTTTTGCAAGGCATTAAGTAAACTCTCATACATACATACAAGCATACATAAGTAGATACTGTGTAATTTAGATCTAATTTGCAAACTTAAATTTATGTGTGTATATTCTAATACAAACTAAGCAAACATTTTCTACATAATGCAATCGAATGAATATGTCGCTGAAAATTTAATATAGTTAAGTACATACCACATCAAAGAGAGCATAAAACAGCATAACTAAATTATTGATACAGACATAGTACGATACGAGTAAATATACGCAAGCGTTTAAATAAAAATAAAAAATTGCAGTTTTTTATTGAGTGTATTATGGGGAATGAAAAATATTTTACCCCTTTTTTTAACATTTAACTGCACATATTGTGTTTTCCAGCACAGTATTATGTAATGCAAAAGTCACAGGAATATGTTAATTTGTAAAATCGCTGTTTTCAATAAAAACCAAAGCTTCAGAGCGAAGCAAAGGAGCAAGGAGCTAAGAAGCATAGGATTTTGGCTGAAACGGAGCTGATGCAAAGAGCTAAAAAAATTAATTTGCACCTTAGCTCTTTAAAGAAAATAAATTTACTTAATTTTTTATTTTTACCACTGAAAACAACCGTGTTAAATAAATTTTCATACTATTTTTACTTGGAAATACATACAATGAGGGGAAAAAATTTTAGAATTAAAAAAGTGCAACTTTAAAAAATACGCATATGAAAGTGCCGGAAATGAACGGAAAACGACTACAATTTTCGTGTATTTACGTATCGCAAACACGTTCAAAAAGTTGCGATTTTCCTAGCCGGAAACGAACAGAAAACGACTTAAATTTTCATTCATTTTCGTCTCCGGAAAACTTTCGAAAATGATAATGTTATTTGAGCAATAATGACATTTTATTTGTTCAAGCTGCTAGTATAGTTAGCTTTCGAATGCCAT